TGTTTCCATTGTAGTTTTGTGAAAAACACCAAATTAGATACGGCTGAAAAACCACCTCATCCTAGTGCAAAAACATTTTGTCGAAAAACGTAATTTTTTTCTAAATTGACGTGTTTCCATTGAGCAAATTTATTTTCGAAATTCTAATTTGCACATTTTCACGGTCAATGGAAACACAGGTAGTATTGCTCCGGGGGCCACAGTTACTGCAGACCAACAGCTGAGGGGCCGAACATCCAGCAATTAAAGTTATTCTGTAAATCAACCAAGTTTTACAAAGATCTGTTACCTTTCAATTAGTTTGCTGCACTTAATCAAGAATACAACATACAAAACCCTATAAACGTAATCATAATTCAACAATATCAAAAACAAAAAGAACACATTCTGCCTCCTTTTATTAGACACAAATATTTTAACATCTCCAACTTGTCAAATTTTTAAACCAAATTTATTTTCACTTTCATAATTCTATCTTCAACTGCTTGTAGTTTTAACTGTCTTGAGTGTTTATAGAAATGGTTTTTACCAGCTTGTAGCCAATAGATACCAAACATGTCTATGTTTAACTAAAAGAACTTAGAGTAATTAAAGTAGAAAACCAGAGGTTTGGGCTTAAGARATTAATAAATCAATCGGTGGGCCGAACGTTGGTCACTCGTGGGCCAGATTTGGCCCCGGGCTGCCAGTTGAAAAGCCCTGACCTAAACAATGGTTATGTCTACCCCTGTATTAAGAAGTATTGTCAATCTCCAGCACACAGGAGTGCAGACAGTGGCTCAACAAGGATCAAATTAGGACACTTTATGTTTATTTTTGTTTTTTAAAGCCTGTGAATGGAAACCACGATGCTAAATGACCTCTGTCAGCCTCACTTATTCATGACTTAGTGACTAATGTCTGCCATGTCTACATCTACCTGTTGATGTGCAAATGTAAAATTTCCTCAATGCTTCCTTGTTCACCAAACGTATGTGGCTGTGCAACAAATCCTGCCTTGTAGAACCAGACAATGATCTTCTCTCAGCCCAGCAGTCACGCAAATCATGACAAATATTTGCAGTCGTGTTTCAGTTTTTGTGACAGAACATCCACCTCTTGTGAAAATAAAAATAACAAACTTTTGCATTTTTGCGTATTTACGTAACTCTCTGTAAATAATATCGTGCTGTCGTTCAGCAGCTGTAGGATCCATCAGACCCGTGCTTGTTTTGCATCACTGCGACACGTTGAAACACGTTTTCACACATATGTACTGTATTCATGTTGCCATGTTTTCAGAGAAAGCAACAAATGAGAACAACACAACAGACGACTGGGGGCTCATCATGGACATCTGTGATAAGATCGGGACAGTGCCCAACGGGTAAGTCCAACAAAATCCCCTCTGAACGTTAAAAACATGTTAGCATTCCCAAAACTAATGAACTCATCTCTAAACTGCTTTTCTGTTTAATTCTTTGTGTTTTTGACAGTAACATGTCTTATCAGTTAACCTGTGACCCTCTGACCTGCAGATACTGTGTTTTCTTTAATAATTACTGAGGCTAAAATAAATCCTGTTTTCTGCTGCAGACCAAAGGACAGCCTGAAGTCCATAATGAAGAGAGTCAACCACAAAGTGCCTCATGTTGCCATGCAGGCCCTCAACGTGAGTGAAACKAGACAAGCTGGCATTTTAAAATGACTCACAGTGCAGTGTTATATAAAGTACAACAAAGTAACTTAAGTAAAAGTACAAATATCTTACCAAAAAGTTATTCTAGTAAAAGTTAAAGTCTCCTTTATGAATATTACTTGAGTAAAAGTCTTAAAGTATGTGATATTTGTTGTAGTTAAGTATTAAAAGTCTTAAAGTATGTGATATTTGTTGTAGTTAAGTATTAAAAGTCAGCGTAACGATTTAAAATGAGCAGTTA